AGTAGGTACGGGAAAGGAAGCGAGGTCATGAGAGACGAAATTTCGAGGGTTAGTCAGAGTTTGCAGGAATTATCCCCAACGACAGGACGTGCCTCGAGTAGGAAGGACGTTCTGTTAGGTTCTTCAATCGGGAGCTGCTCACACGTTGAACTCGAGCTCATGATCTGAATTTGCAGTCTAGCAGCCATAATCATGCTCCCCAAAAATGTGACAGTAAGAACTCTCAATATGTACAAAGTCTGTGCTCGACAAGATGAACTTTATACACATTTTTACCGTTTCATGTTGAAGAAACGAAACATGTCACCTGTACTGGATTCCAGTCACGGTATTACTCCCTTTATCTATGCATTTAATTATCTATTCATTTCCTTCCAGACTCGGTAATGCATGCCCTGAGATTATCGGATCAGAGAAAGTGATCGCGAGCATCTTTCTCGTTACGAGGAATCATCATGGAAGCAGTGCCGATTTGGTGTCTTTAGGCACTGGAAATAAGGGTCTTAGGGGTTGGTTGAAATACTTCAGTTATTTGAGTCATATCACTTACAATGTAAGTTTGTATTCAAAATTTGGTGTCGTGTTTACGATTTTGATTACCAGTGATCCTCGTTGGTGGAGCGATCCCTATAATTACAAGGTTCTTAAGTTTGTGGCATTTGTTACAGTTTTAGTAGGGTATTTGATTTTTGATATTATTTATATTATTTTCTACCGTTTTTATTTCCTTCTATTAGTACCTGTGTGGCCTACGGCGGCTGTGATGCGTGGCACCTATAAGTTTTGGCACTACTGCTGATGGGGTTCTAGCCGAAAAAGAAACAGTTGGGAACTCGCTTAAAAGTAGTCACTTATGTTGAGCACGAATTCAGCATGTTTCGATGTCAGGTTTAGTTTGAATTGCAAGCGTGGGAGATACTGAGATAACTTCCGTGGAGGTATCTGTGAAAATATGAACCCTTGTGGGGATATGTTATGGAGACCTGTACCTCTTATCAAGCCATCTACTTTTCTTTTATTTTAGACAACGTTCAGTGCGTAAAGGTGAGAGCAACCTTTTCACAAGCCTGGAGAAGGATAAAGTTTCCGCCCTTAGTCAATCCCTTTTGGTATGCGGCACGCATTCTTCTTCCAAAAAAATTCTTCAAAATCGTAGCGGCTGGTTGAATGCGATGTGATCTGCACAACCATTTGCGGGAGCCAGCCATGTACTTGTCAATATTCATATCTTTCAGACGAAACTAGCGCCAAGTTACTGTCGCCTAAGATTTGTTTGGCCCTAGCAAGAGCCGATCCGGGGTATGAACGCCAACGCCAACGGCGCTGGTGGTCAGCGTGTCATTTGCCACTGCGTCTCATAGTAGAAGTAGGGAGAAGTAGAAACAATCACAATAGTCTTGTTAACTTCTTGACAGCTTCATAGTGCAAAACTTCACAGTTCATTGTGCAAAACTAACCGTTAAAAATGTACGGTATTAACAAAAGTACCGTGGTAAACTAGTGCCACCACACCAACTTAACCATCTTCGCCTCGCCATCCTGGATGCCAGGGTTA